AAATAAAGAAAATGTGTGGGCTGATGTCTTGGCATTTTCATAAGTTTGCGTCCAGTTTGACAGAGCGTAAATGACAGTTTGAGTGTTTGTTTTGTCGTCCGCTTGACTACATTTTGTATGCATGAAGGGACAAACCCGTTATAACTAACAACAGCAGCAGACGCGAAGAACATTTGCCAGCAAGAAATGGAGACATTGTGCATTCCATCTGCCCAAATATCTGTCAGAACGTCTGAGCATAAGAACGGATTTTATAAGTATCTTATTTATGGATATACTCACGAACAGAAGCCATGTCCCCTTTATATGTTTTTGAATGCAGTTAAAATGCTACATCATCACCTTACAGGTCTTCCTTACCCTTGCCTTTAGGGACATTTACCTTAGAAAAATTTCTGATCTGGAATCTCAGATGGCGGCACTTCGAGAACAGCAAAAACATCTGAATGAAAATGAAGCCGCCAATCTGCGCCAAGTAAAGATCTGGCGGGATCTTGTGACCATCCTCCAGAACAAAATTGCCATCCGAAAAGCTGAGGAAGAGAAGATTGCCTCAGGAGGGGAGTACGCCGACGTTCAGAAGATAGAGAAAGACCGCCTGCTTTTGTAAATTTAACCGGTTCTGACTGTTTTTGCATTTTTCTGGCGGCCTTCGCTACATTACTGTCACATCAAGCTCATGGTTATGTTGTTAAAAAGTAGTGTTTTTGAATAAAGCCGCGGTTGATTGAATTAAATATGTGGAAAGACTTAATGCTTGCAACATTCAACTCTATTTTATTCAGTTCGTATGATTTCAGGAAGGCAATGGAAGGATAATTGTTTGGCATGTAAATATTTATTGAGTTGTTACCTTGAAACTTGATAGAATTGCAAACAAGAAACGCTTAACGCAATCCAAAATCCGTTTTTTCGTTATGGGTAATCCCTTAAATAGACTATTGTTATGTACAAAGATTCTGGGTCCAGTTATAATTTCACCCTCATCATCCCTGGAAGAAGAAAGGGGGAAGCAAGTACTGCGACCAGGTTGTATTTGGGCTGACGTGTCGAGCACATTCTTGTTTTTATTGTCCGAACGTCCTGCGTACTCTTCCGCCACCCTAGAATGAATGCACCTCACTGCCAGCCTCGGGTTGTAACCGTGCCTGATGCTGGCGCGCCGATCGGTTGCTAGTGGTTGTTTGAATCGTTCCCACCTTCACGGGCGCCCTGGATTTAAACACCGCCTACCAGGTGCTTCTCACAAAGCTCACGTCCGCTGGGAAGAGGGCAATAGGGCGGCCGAAAGAGGATGCGCAGGACCAACAGCCGCCACCCGCCAGGGAAGGTGGCAACAATCGTGAATTACATGAATGGCATGGTACGCTCTCTCATGAAGGCATCCGCGAGGGCGAGAATGATTCAAATGAGCATCAGCGGTCGATCGGTGCAATCGATAGACGCGCTTGTATCAGACATGGTTACATCACGAAACTGGCGGCGAGGCGCATTCATTCGACGCCAACGAAAAAGTGAGCTATATGCTCTGATGAGGGAGACGAGAATGTGTCTAAACGGCAGCTTACATACAACTTAGTCCCAGTACGTGGCCCCTCTTCTTCTTTTGGGGATGATAAAGGCGAAAGTTACTATTATGTATTTGCAGTTTAAGGGCCTTAGTATGAGGGACGGAAGGTGCGGTAAAAAGTGTTATTTGACATTTGCCAGGCAGTGCACACCGCAGTATTTCCAGGTATGCAAGATGGACTTATCACGTAGCCTACGAGTGGCACGCAATAACTCCTAGATGGATTACGTATTTCGATAGGGCTGAAAATGCTATTCCAAGGTGACAAATCAGAGGAGGAAGAGGCGTACAATTGGCGAGGTTGAAAGTGTGTCTTGTCCGTACGACATGGGTTGTCAACCCCGAGTGAATTCGATCTTACCCAAAATATAGTTAGCGATTAAAAAGGGAGTGGCCGACATTTACGCTCTCCGATGTTATTATCTGACGCCGACCGGGTGGAAAATTGACGGCCGACGAATACGCCGCAAATGCGCAGTAACTAAAAGAACTGGCAGTTTGATTTTGACCAGGTTCACTGCGTGCTTCAGAGCAGAGTGGTGTAGTGACAGTGGCCTTTGTTGGATTATATTGAGAATAGACTTCGTCGAATCTACCTCGCTCTCTATCGCTTTAATCCTCTATGTGGGCCCCGTGTCAAAACAAAATCAAGAAGACCAGAGACGGCGCAAGTCCACTCACTGAGGGCCATCACAAACAAAAAGCCACAGCACATTTGGGGGGCGGCTTGGATCCTATGTTAACAGGGGAAGGTCACAAAAGCCACATTAACAAGGGGTAATTGCAATTGGACTCAGTCCGCCACACCACACAACACACTAGGTTGACCGTGTGGCTTGAGTTATCCGGTCAATTAGGAACCATTCATGCCACGATTTTTACTGTACCTTCTTAGTTTCAAGCGTGTCAAATTGTTTATAAAGAGAAAAAGTGCAGAACCGTTGACCTCACACTCTCCTACAACTGCCGCATCCGGCCAGCGTCCGAGCCGGTTCTTTGTCCGTTGCAGGTGGAGTGTTGTGGCTAACAAGACCAGCAAAGCCATCTACGTGCGCCACAACAGGATCTTCCGCCGTTGACCCATACACCAGGATTTAAACGACCAGACGGTAAGGAGTCTTCGCTACCTCACTCCCAGTGCACTCATCAGGCAGTTAACAGACAACACACAATGAACTAATGACATTACTTGATAAAAGCGTCAACTGGCAGCCTTTTAAGTCACGGTAAGCGACGACAGTCCCCAGCTCGCATAACACATTTAACAGAGGAACTGATTGCGGAAGGAGCTGGGGAGCAGACTTATATACTTGGTTTAATGAGCTTATATATTCACTTGCATACTCATAATCATTCTCAAAGTCGAATGTATAAATAAAAATCACAGCAACCGCCGATGCAACACAAATGAGTTCTGTACGCACTATATGCCAATGAGTAAAAATTCAGAGCAGCACGCTCGTCAACAAACGGAACGAAACAGGCCCTCTCAGAGAAGTCTTAGGAGCCAGCGGCTTTCCGGTACTATTCGATGGACGAAGCGGTATACACTAATGAAAGGGGAATTAACAGTTCATTTAGTTCAAATCGTGGCGGAGCATTCCGGAAGTGGAGGCGATCTCCGAAGCCGTGGCTAGATCTCTCGCACCAGGCGGAATAGGAGTTGCTCACAGATCTGACTCAACCACCCGCCGGCAAGCTGTACGAGAAAAATACCTTAGCTCTAAGCGGGAGATTATAGCTTTTGTCAATAATCTTTAGTGCAGCTGCAGGATGTGCAGGATGTATGTTGGGGAAACCGGCTAACGGCTATAAAGGCGAATGTATGAGCATCGATTGCCCGCGCAATGATTGGCCCCAAAGCGGGGTGTAGCAACCCATACCGCGCCGATGGGGCCCACACTCAGCTTTCACACAGAGCAAGGCAGTTGCAAGAAGCCTGAATATTAACCGACCGCACTGTCAACTGCCAAATCAATTTCATTCAGCCCCTGTCCCGTATTATGAAGATTCTTTTCGGGAGACAATTATGGTGCGGAACAATTTGCGTTGCCGAGGTGGATGGGAGGACGACCCACGTTACGGTAAAATGTGGGTCGGATGGAGTCGCTCCCTCGACATCAGGGGACCACGGATCAAGTAAACTGCGCAACCTTATGAAAGCTGTACACACGTCTTTTTGGCCTCTGTCGTTGGTTAGGCGAAATACCTACTTGAAAAGTCATTCCTCTCCCGGTGAACACCTCTTCTTATATTGATTGAAACGGTTTTCTGTGAAGGAATACCGATTGCAAGGTCCTCAGCTTTATGAACATGTCCGTAGATGGTTTGAGGTTGGGGTGGTAGTGCTGTTATGTAATGTTTTTTGGGCTGATTATGCATTTTTATCAGCCAATTAACCTCACCAGAGGCGGTTGCATGCTCACTTGGAGCGCAAATTATGCATAAACTTGTTCTACTAGATTACTTTATGGAACTGAAACTCCTCCATACATAGTGACCCAGCAGTCTGTCCACACAAAATGAGCGCACACCGATTCCCTCGCTACCTAGGGCATACAATTGCTGAATGAGTGGCAGGTGATCCAAGATGCAAGTAACTAACATGCCAGACTCGCTCGACAGTTGCGTTTAGCCCCCTATGGATAAATAAACGGTCTCCAGTGACAGTTGGTATCTGTTTGCGAGATTGATGTACTTCGGCTTGGTGCGTGCGTGCCTGCTAGCTTGCTGGCGGTTACGTATAGGGCGTGATCGCTATTATTTTTGACTGTATGAAGGCCAACGTTGCCCGGAAGTAGGCCAGGTTTGCGTGTCCGCATCTCTGACGGTAAGTGTTTGCCATCAAGCTCAGCCGAGTTCAGTCTGGTAGGTGTATATCTGCTCGCGATGTCTCTCATGCTTTCTAAGGTGGCTTCAAGTGAGACAACGAATCCATGTGCGCTTATTCTTTCAGTATAAATAAGCGAAAATGTCGACGAGGATATTGACACGATATCGGAGACTTATGTGCCATTTCTCCGGCGCAAGCCCTTGCACAATAGCCTTTTGTCAAGTGCAAGCGAAAATATTTAAGTGGGTTGAATTTTGAATTCTCATCTTACGGAAATGACGTTCAGCCCGTGAGTACATTTTCCTGACGGGACATGGCAGGCTAATATATGTTTTGACTAAAAAATCGTTCAGATGCCAGGCTTCTTGCAATGAACACGATCATATTAATCACCAGAAGCCTGTGGAGAGACTTTCAGAGTTTTTGGGTATCGAGTGAATGGTGTCTTTATTTGACTTCTTCGCTTGTTAGGTGCGCATTTGCGCAAATTGGGTCTAATAAATTTTGTTCATTAGTCCTTGTCGACACAATTTGATCTAAAAATGTCGTTCTAGGCTTGCGCATATGCACCTGTGCTTATAATTGGAAGTTCGGCTGACATTTTTGGTGCCACGTGCCTTGCAACGAGTTACCCACTACAAATCGTTTAACTTAAAGCCAAACGTATTTTAACATGAGCTGTGCAAACCTCAAGAGCTTTCAAAAACTATATAGAATACCCGGACTGACACCTAATTTGAGTGGGACTTGGGATACGGGCGACAGTCTATTATCGTAGCGATGGAACGATGAAATCACCCTGTTGATCTTTGTGCTGTAACACTAAGAGATAGTCTTTTTCCTTTATACGGAAATTGGGTCAGCTTACACGATAGTAAGAACACAACAGGTGAAAATGGGAAGAGTACGCTGTTTTATGGAGCCGTTGTAATGGATAGTAATGCACGGCAGTTAAAGTTCCGCACAGGGGCTGCTGACGGTGTGTTAAAACGGTGTGTTCCTCTCCGTGCTGTCGGCTTTTGAGTTCCCGATAAGCATTCGCGCAGTACGGCGGCGAAGTCATGCAAAATGCCGAAGTTTTCCAAAGACTGATACTCATTCGCAAACTGGAATTAAAACATGTACGAAAATTCAGAAATAATAATGAGCAAGCTAAGGCAAATTTGCTACTTGAAAGAAATATAAAAAGTGCTAATTATTTGTTAAG